AAAGTTCATTACTTTGACTATCAGTTATAACTTCGCATTAATTTGATAGTACTTCGTCACAACTAGAATTAAAATAATAACATCTCTTTTATAAATATGTCAGAGTTAATTTACAAATGATAGGATTTGTAACAAACAAACAATAGGTGGGTCTATCCTCGCAACCAGGACCATATGTTCCATTAGAGTTAATTTTTAATTGACAAATGCTCCAAATTTTGAATCTTAAACATTCAACCTCAGTTTAAGCAGTAGTATTGTCAGTACAAACTACATATTTACAGATTTAGTTTTGATCATCCCATTTACAAGGGAAATAATATCTATTAATTATGCACTATTATTGATATTTATAATCGCAGTAGGATGAGAGATCTGAACAGGATTTCCCAATATTACTTACCGTACATTTAGGGAGGAAGCCTTCACAATCCTGATGAGATAGATCTCCATAAAGTCTTTTATCACAATCAGTAAGTCCATTATTATCTTCGCCCTCATTCATACACTTTTATAATTTATCATCCCAATAACAAAATTATCCATTTATATTTGTCTTACAATTTCTTTCTCTGATGAATTCATGACAATTAGATTTCTTGAGTTCACATCCTTCAGCAAAAAGAGAGGAAATCACTGTGCATTTAGGATTCCAAGCAATACATTCCTGATGATTATTATACATAATGTTATTTGGAGAAGATGAACAAGCAAGATTATTAGGTCGATCTTTGCATCCACCATAATAATGATCAAAAATACAAATATTTAACCATGTGTTACATTCAATATTATTGGTGTGATTCACTTTAGGGGCATCTGAACATTGCTATAACTTACATCTAGTACCAGTCCAAAAACATTTTGTTCCATCTTATAAGTTCAATTAACATTGATTTTGAGTTATCATTTGAGTGCAATCTGTTGGCCAATTTTAACATCCCAGCTCCTGAAAATCCAATTATGCAAGGACCACTAAACACTTTAAATTATTAACAATCTTCATTTGTTAAATATAAACTAGTTTTTGCATCTGTACATTATTGATTAATACATTTTTAACTATATCCATCCCATTTACACTAAAGTCCTGAAATTGTTGAATAACATTGATCTTAATTAGCAGGCTCACAACTATTCTTCTTATTTATGCAACCAATCAAAATTTTTTAATTCTATATATATTATACATTAACTGTGCAATTTGGCATCCACTCTTCACATTTCGAATTTGAATCATAATATGGAGGAGCAGTATTGCAATTCTTTTCTACACATCCTTAATTCAAAGTGCAAAAAGTACCATTTGAATCAATTATACAATACTCTATTTCTAAAATATTTTCACATAAAAAATCTGTACAACCTAATGTATTTAAATTAAAAGTGAAATATTAGCTTGCCTTTTAGCATATTTGATGACTTTTATATGTTGGCAATTTCAATTTTTTACATTGCAACAATTCATACTTACCTCCAAGCCAGATGCACTTTTCTTTATTATAATTTATTTCACAAAATTATTTCTCCAATATTTCTTCACATTATTTTGGTATCATTTGACATCCTCCATTTAATTTCCCAATACAATTGCCATATTAATGACAATCTGCATTCATAAAAAAAAAAGGAGCATGATAACATTATCTTTATTCGCATTTATTATTATACCACACACAATCTTATTATTCTATAGAATAACAATCTATTTCTTAAGCATAACCATAACATGTTTCAGGTCTTATTTTACACCCTTTGTTTTCTGAAGTAACACAATCTAATAGATTGTCATAATCCTAGCATTATTAATAATTCTTAAGTGAATCTGGAGCTGTGCTACAACTCTTGATTTTACATTAATTTTAATGATATTCACATTTTTTACCTTCAGCATCTGTTACACAACCATATGCATTCTAAGCATCTATGCATTATTTCCTTTTCACACAATGCACTCCGTTAGTTGTACAATCTTTTAAAATTTCTCTACATTAATAGTCCTGAGTGAATAGTAGATTTTGGTACACTTTTTCTACACATTTTTCATTCTTAGAATCCCAAAAGCAATTATTTTTATTGCTTTCAAAGCATTAGTAATCATTAAGATATTATGAACACAACTCCATTTATTTTATACATCCATAACCATCCTCACTTATTGTACACCCATCTAGGCCTGATTTACACATTTAATGATTAGTTAAGTAGTTTGGTAAGCCTTCGCAAGTTGTAGCATCTAAGCATTTTTTTTCCATCCCTCCAATCCAAAAGCAGTATTTATTATACTTATTTTTATTGGCACATCCATTCTCTGTTTTGTAATCACTACATTCTTATATTTGCACACACTTTGAGCCATCAGACACACATTTATATGAAGATTCTTAACAATTTTCTTTATCGAATACCATACAATCTACAAAATCAATACATTAACCAAAATAAAAGCCACACTTTTCTTATTCTCGACAATCCTCTTATGCATATCTCTTGCATTGATTCGAATTACTCATCTCCGTATTGTATGATTGTCCGGGTTTTAAAATACATTTATCAACCTCCCAAATGCAAA